CCAGCAACCAGTCCACATAAACAAGCAAAGCTCCATCCGTGGGATGCAGGCAGCACACAAAATGATGCCCTCTCTGGTCCACGGAAAAACCTCTCTCCACGGAACTGGTCCCTGGTGCCCAAAAGGTTGGGGACCTCTGCTCTAGAGGGTCTAGAGACCTTATTGACTGATTGATTTGATTTGATTTGATTTGATTTGCTTGTAGCCCCTCTCCACGAGCCACCCATTCATGAGAGACCTCCACAACTTTTGAAAATTGGGCAACAACGAGGTGCATTTTTAAAATATAGTTGTCAGCTATCGGCGAATGCTGACTTGTCACACAAAATGTCATGACATGTCACCTTTAACATGCGTGTCATAGGTTTGCCATCACTGGCTTATTAGCTACACTTAGAAACTATCAACATTTATTTATGTATTAAAATTACATGCTGCCCATCTCGCTAAGCTGCTTTATATTTTAACAGAACTGGGCCTCACAAAGATTCAGCCAAATCGTTTCAAGTGTTTTACCGCAAGGCAACATTCTCTTGTGTACCTCTTTTAAGGCAGATGGGAAAACTACTTCTCCCACTGATATAAGAGATGCCTGTTTTCAAAAGAGTAACAACTTTTTTGTAACAGAATAAAGGTTCAGCACACTCCAGAACCACGTGAGGCCTGCAAACCCTGGTTTATTTAAAAGCTTAGTCCCGGTAAATGGGGATCCACTATTCTGCTGCCTTCAGGTGAAGGAGGAGGAACTGCTCCATTCAAGAACAGGAAGAAATGCTGGTGAAATGCTTTTCTTGAAAGGAAAAGGGTGGGAATCCCAGGAATAGATCTGGTAAGCTATATTACGTGTTTACAACAGTCCCAGCTATAAACTCTGAATTGATTATCATGACCTCTGTAACTTGCTGGTATTTAGCAACAGAAGAAAGGCAGGCTGACAGGATAAGATCTATAAGAAGCTGGCACATTACACACACATACACACCCATTTCACTTAATCCAAGTTGTAAATATTTGGATCAGTGCCTCAAATTTATTCTGGCATATATTCATTCATTGTAAAAAAGTTTAAATCCGCCCCAACTACATAGAATTTAAAAGTATGATATGACCTATAGTAAGAATGAATATATTGGGCTGGTCAGCTTTGAGTTCCCTATTGTAGCCAGCTAAATTCCAATTATGTTGTCAGAATTATTAAAGAAGTAGAACATTCCACTAGATTAAAAGAAAGGAAGGAAAAATTACATTAAGGCTCCTGGTTGGCAACATTCAAGAGCTGAAAAAGTGAATAAAGCACAAAGCAATTTTTAACTAACCCAGTTTTTCTCAACTTTAAGATATATGGACTTCAATTCCAAGAATTCCTCCAATCATGATCTCCTAGCCATGGAATTCTCCTGTTCATGCTGGCGGAGTGCTGGGAGTTGAAGTCTACCCATCTTAAAGTTGCTGACGTTGAGAAGCACTCAGCAAATCTTAAGAAGGCCCATGACTCTAAACATAAACCCATTAGCAAATTACTATTCTTTTCTTGTAGACAATGGCACATTTGTAGCCTGATCTCTACTTCATACTATTTGGGAAAACTTGTTGTAAGGTAATGTGTCTATCTATTCACTAAATGTAGAGATTTAAACCTGTCCTAGGCCAATGTTACAAGTCTGGGAGTATCAGCTATGGGATCAGTGGCTTATGAGTACAGTAGGTGGCTTTGTGTGATTCCTCAGAAGCACCAGGCATTGTTTCTTTCAAGCTTTCTGAAAATGACCAAAAAAAATGTCCAATGACAAATCTCAGTATGACGTAAACTAAGCACAAAGGGCTGCAGCTTGCTGACTCTATTCTTTATAAGAAATGCAGGGTTACATTCTGGGTCAGATTTCTTGACAGGTGGGCAAGTTTTTGTGAAGCAGACAGTCTGGCACAAAAAAATAATATGCTACTCTCAGAGTTAAGAGGCTATGCCAATAAGCAGACAGGCAACAGATGCAGATATAGAAAGTGTCATTCTCTGAGTTGAGAAATTGTGTCAGGCAGGCAGCAAACAAGGCCAGTGGAGTTGGCAGAAATGAGTGGTTATCACCAAAAGAGAAAATGCCAGGTTAGCAGATTTGATAAATCATACCAAACACAGTAGGAAGGCTGATAATAGAAGCAGGGAGTGGCGTAGCAGGAAGCAATACATCCACACGCTTTTATTTTGGTTGTGATCAGCAGCCAGCTCGGTTTTCATATAACAATGGTCACATGGGAAGGTGACCTAACAGAGGGAGGCAGGCATTCAGAAAATATTGTATGTTGAGATTTCAAAGACTGTGCCAGGAAGCAGAGAAGGCAAATATGTTGGAAGTTATTGGAAAATAATTAGCAGGCAGTTGGAAAAAACCTAATCTCCAAGGCTCCTGAAAGCAGAACAAGAAGCAATGGATGGAAACTAATCACAAAGAAATCCAACTTAGAAATAAAGATACATTTCCTGACAGTTAGAATCAGTGGAATGGCTTGCCTACAGAAGCTGTGGATACTCCATCACTGGAGGTTTTTAAGAAGAGATTGGACAGCCGTTTGTCTGAAAAGTTATAGGGTTCCTGCTTGAGCAGGGGGTTGGACTAAAAATCTCCAAGGTCTATTCTATTCTATTCTGTTCTGTTCTGTTCTGTTGTATTCTATTCTATTCTATTCTATTCTATTCTATTCTATTCTATTCTATTCTATTCTACTCTACTCTACTCTACTCTACTCTACTCTACTCTACTCTACTCTACTCTATTCCATTCCATTCCATTCCATTCCATTCCATTCCATTCCATCATATACTCAGAATTAAAAAACTACCAGATGGTGTGACCAACTAAGTTACAATAGTATACTAGGAGAGAAAGGTAAATTAGGAGGGGTAACAAAGTAGTTGTACTTGGTGGCCTGACCTAATGTTAGTCAAGGTACCTTATTCCTAGAAGGAGTAAACATCTATCTTCTTAAAAGTAAGGCACCAGCTTGACAAGAACCATTAGTGGATCCTTGCCCTGAACATTTTCTCAACTCTAATTTATCAGTCTCAGAGAGAAGCCTACCATTAAGTTTAAATCCGAATTTTATTCCCCTTGGGAAAAGGTAGATGGGCAGGATATTAATTCACATCTAGTAGCACATTTGAAGAGATTATCATTGGAGAAGAAAAGCAAGTACTAGCATAGTAGGGTCTGTTAGGTTGTTTCCCAGCGTACGTAGGGCTAACGCATTTACCAAGATGAGGTTGATATCTGGCAAGAAAAGTCTCACTTTTCTATCTAACTTTTATAAAGCTCATAACTAACTTCACTGAGTTTCCTTTAAGGCAGAAAATCATCAAAGACGGTGCTTATATAACTAGACCTGTATTAACATCCTGTCCATCCACCTATTCCCAGAAGAAATAAAATTTGGTTCTAAGCTTAATGATAGCCTTCCCTCCCAGATTAATAAATTAGAGTTGAGAAAATGTTTGAAGTGTTGTAGCCTAATTAAAATGATTAAACTTGCGGCAGAGGCACTTGCTCCAAGCCAGTGTGCAGCCTACAGTCAGTTTGCAACACTTGCATTAAATATATTAAACAGCAATAATAATAGCATGCAGTGGAGTAAGGGTGTGGTACCCAAAAAAATGGGGAAGTTCATCTGAGGAACAACAGTTGTTCTACCAATTGTAATTGTAATTTCCAATAACATATTAAATTCAACTCCCTGATCTGCTTGAATGACCTTTTGCTTGACACTAGTTGTGTGAACTTGGTAGCCATACATTTGGCTTTGCGCTTCTCCAGAGTTCAATAATTTCTAGATAACGTCTTCATTTTCTCAGACAAGTGGTTGGCAATCTCTGTGTTATCCACTTTCCTTGATTGAGCACTCAGAGTTACAGCAAAGAATAGCATCCCCTTTCTTTGAGGACACCGGGGAAATTCATTGGCTAATGCTGCTGAAGATCACTATGTATTCTTGACTGTTACTGAGAAGGGTAGCTGAGAATTTAATGTCAGGATTGTTGCCTTTCCACCATTATCAGCCACAATTCTCCATCTTCTGGCAAATTCATCCCTCCACTGTTGGGACATGTTGGTTCCATAGAGAATCCCCATTATGCAGTATACAGAATTTCTCCATGACCGCTAGGAACAAAAGCCATTTGATGATCCCATCTTTCGGCTGCCTTGCCAGATCAACACAAAGGAGGACAGTGATTTCCCCAGCACTGGGACCTTGAACAAAAGGAAATTCTCTATTCACTGCCAGAGAAACTTCACAAGGAAAAGTACCAAACTATAGAAAGGAGTGCATTATCAACAACCTCAAGAAATATCTTGAACACCAGCATGAGCCAATGGATGGTGTCCACACTTATCTGTTGAATAAGTGCACTGACACTAATCTCCTAAATGCTGAGGCATCTGAGAAAGAAATTCACAACCTGCTTTAGTGGTGGGTCAATCAAACCTTCATCAAATTGAATATACATTATAGAACTGCCCTATTATCAATGGATCATCTTTTTGGTGTTCATATTAACTTTGAAATCCCTTGTGATTCTGACTGTTTTTACAAACAAGCATATATTCTGAAAACCAATGAATTTGCATTCTCTTGCTTCAAATAATTTTAAAAAGCACTAACAGTAGAAACCACCAAAGTAACAGCAAGAGATTACCTGTGAAATTCCCATTTCAGTATAAAAACAACATATGAGGCATGCAGAAAAAGCTGCCAAACCATTTTACCCCATAAGATTTGAATAATATTTTGAGAGCATTCACATGGTCTCTGACAATCATACATATTAATAGAGGATGGCCCCCACACCAGCACAAAGATTTCTTTCTCAAGATAGATATATACAATTTGTGCATGTGTGTTCATCTAAAAAGAAAAGTCAATTTTTCATTTCAGATAACAAAATAGATCAATAATGCATCCAGTAATGTATAATGATGTATTTATTGAACAGATTTATATAGTCACCCAATACACACACAGCGTTTGACTTAGTATTGCAGCTGTGGCTACACTAAAAATCCAAGGAAGATAGCAAGTGATACGGTTTGGACAGAATTGCAAAGTATAAGTTATGACTGTGCATAATGAACACAACACACACATATACACCAGGACTAGGGGTTTGGACGAATTTTGTTTTTTAAACTCATGTTGAATTTCAAAGCTTTCCCTGGGGATTTCTGTGTTTCATATCTGAAGATGGTAAGATATGCTTCTACTATTTTAATTTTCCTTTCTGCAATTGTAGTGATAGGAACATCATGGGTTGACCACTGATTACCTAAACCTATTAGAAGTAAGCTTAACTTGTTTAAATTCAAAGTCAGTAACTTCCAAGAGGTCCTTCAGAATATAGAAACATAGGTTGCATCCCACTGGGTCTCTTCATTAAAGGGGTGGTAGTTATAAAAAGATCTCTTCTCTTTGAATCTTTCAGGAAGACCTTTAGAATTAATACTGAGAGCAGCTGGGCTGTGCCAGGAGCTGGGGAAGAATGGAAAGTCAATTGATTGCATGATACTAGACATATGATACAAAACACATGATACTTTTTATATTTGCACACCTACTATCAACTTATCCAAGTGAATAATTTCATGTAATTCAAGCAGTCGCTTGGTTGTATTATTGATTTAGTAAAAAAATTAAATGCTGACCAAACCATTTCAGCAATGATAGCAAGACCTTCAGGCATTTGCTGGCTAGATAAAAAGCTGAAATTAGGGAAGTATGGGGCAAATTCTCCCCATCTTTCATAGACTGCCATGTATTCAAATGAGAGGTCTGAAGGGAAGCTTTTCATATTTGCAAGGCATTAAAGAGTGTTGGCAAGGATGGACTGCAAGACTTAGTTTTAATCACCAATAAACCATGGAAATAATGCTAACAATATTTGGAGGATTCATGGGGACTTGAAGAAATTGGTGTATTTTGGCTTGATTAAAATGAGCCTGTTAGTTGAGTTCCTCCACCCAGCCCTTGCTTCAGCTGTTAATTGTCAACAATAAAGGATAAGCCAACATTTGGCAAAGCAATATGACTACTGTGGCAGCTTTACTGGGTCACAGCTAGAAACATTTAAATTCAGTACAATTTTCTTGTTTTGAGGCTATTTGCCTTAATTAGAAACTTTTGGTTCAGACAAGGTTATGAGATGAGCAATAGACATTATCCACAGTTAGCCACAGCCAATGACAGATGTCACATTTTCCCTTTACACATCCTTGTGGCTCTCTTCCCAGATTAATTTTACAACATTTAGGCAAGCAATTAATTTGATTTCTGTTTATGAGAGTCCCAGACTGGCTCTTAAAGGTTCTAGATATTTATATATCCCTCATGGGTAGTGAAACTAAATAGGACAGTCATTCCTTTGACCTTAGTCTTATAAATAAAAATGTTATTCAGGTACAGAGCATGAGAAAGAAAACAGATGATGCAAATACAGTTTGAAATAGTTCAAGCTTTAAATTTATTAGCATTTAACCCAACACTCCTATTCACACGAAACTGATCTCTCTATGTGCATACACCCTTGTTGTGGGTTATTTCATCTTAAATTGAAAATGAAACAACAAGGTCTCTTAATTTAAATGTAGCCATCTCTCCCCCCCAAAAAAAGAAAATCTTAGCAAAACAAATATTCTCTATTTTTGTAATTACAGCCACACAAAACTTCCTGGTGGAAGAAAAGCTCAGCCCAATGGCATTATCTTTTTCAGGTGGCTACCTCACTTTATGCCTTCCTACTATGCTAGGAATATTAATTTCTAAAATCTCTAACCCGCAGATTAAATAGGCTAAATCTGGAAGTTTGACCTAATAGCTATCCAGCTGTTACTTTTACCTTCAGTAAAGACAAGTCTGACACATTCTGAGCCTCAGAAGTAAGATTTTAATTATGATTTTCCTGAACTTCATAATATTCTGATGATGCAGCTCCAAACTGTATATCTATCTATCTGTCTGTCTGTCTGTCTGTCTGTCCGTCCGTCCGTCCGTCCGTCCGTCCGTCCGTCCATCCATCCATCCATCCATCCATCCATCCATCCATCCATCTATCTATCTATCTATCTATCTATCTATCTATCTATCTATCTATCTATCATCTATCCAGGGCTTTTTTTTCCTCATAGAACGCCCAAAACGGAGTTCCGGCACCTTTTTTGGATGGAACCTTGTAGGGTAGGCAAGGCGGGTTGTATGACGTGTGTGAGTTCTATCTATCTATCTATCATCTATCTATCTCACATTGTTGGGTCATGAACAGTTTGTGATCCATCAAGCCACTGAGCATTTTTTACATACACAGTAGTGTGTCAATAAAGTGCAGCTAGGGGCCATGCCATCCCAATAACAATCTATTAGAGATGCTACTTTTTGCTTGTAGACAGAATCTAGGAAAAAGAGCAGATGTGCTGGCAATGGAGAGGAGAGACTTGGAGGCTTAAAGAAAGAAGTTCAGGGAAATAGAAGGATGATGGCTGGAAATCCAGAGTGGATTCTGTGCAGCACTGGCTTCTAAAGCCTTGTTAATTCTAGAAAAGGCTGAAGAAGACACATAAAATAGAGCTGAATAGGGTCGAAAAACCACCAAAAAAGCAAGCTGGATGATGAGGGATGTATCTTTAATGCAGATACCCTGTGGGAAGAGAGAAGACCCCATTCTGCCAGTCTGAGAGAGATTACCAGCCAGCAAATTAATGCCCTTTCTTAATTCTAATTAGGGAGAGTTGTAGAAAAAGACACTTAATAACAAGACAGGCTTTCCTAGATGCAGCAGGCAGTTTTTGTTTGCCAGGAAAGAAAGAGTTAAATTAGTTTTACTTGACCAAGTAGACATAAATTGTGTTCACTTTATAATATTACTGCTGCTTATCAGAACAAGGTCCAGCAGAGACAGTTGTAAATGCCTTGGGAAATACCATCTAATACCAGATGGATGGATGGATGCTTCAATAAATTGTAGAGTTTTGATTTATTTTACCTTTTCAATCCATTTATGTTTTCAGTGGTCACTAACTTTCTGGCTTTAAAAGTATTATGCATGAACTGTATTACCATGCAAATACTCTTTTTGGGAATTGTTCACCTCTCACCCAGTGAATAAAGGTTTTTTTAAAGCTCTTGTTTTTTTGGGGTATATATAAAGTAACAGTTTGCACATGTGCTTTTCCTGTACTGAACATTGCTTGTCCGTACTGAATTTCATATGGAATTTTTAGTGGAAAGGGACCATAGAAATGATTCCAATTTTATAATGAAGTAAACAGCATTTCATAGCGCTGTGTTAATATTAAACCAAAGAAGAAAGGAGGAATGAAAAAATAACTCCAGTATGTTGTCTGGATCAGATTTCTACTGTTTAGCCAAAATACACACTTTAGGAGAAAATATATTTCCTTGGTTTTCCTACACATGTAGAGAAATTATTGTACTCTACAGAAAGAACCAGTGAGTTCATTTCTTGGGAAACTGAGACAGTTATTATTTATGTCCCATTATTGTATGGAGAAAAATTTATTCCTTTGTATTAAAAACAGAGTTGTTATATTTAAATATTACATGTGAAAATTAAGATAAATATGCAAATTGCTAGGTTTCAATATCTGAAAATTATCGTTAAATTGTGTGAAATTCTATGAAATTGGCATGTCTTTGTAATTTTCTCATATTGCAATACTTCAACATCATCATTCGTACTTGAGGACAGGATTATTTTAAGAACAGGAGTAATCCCTATTTAGGAAGATCTCTATTTCTGGCACAAACATAGTAAACAAAGTAATTATTCTAAAGCAGGGTGTCAAACTCAATTTCATCAGCATTTTGGTTGCCCTCGGGGGACATGGGTGTGGCCTACTGGGTGGGCATGGCCTACTGGGTGGGTGTGGCCAACTCAACATCACTCGCCTCAGGGGTGCCTGGGCAGGCCTGGGACGGATCCGAGAGTCTCTGGCAAAGGGGGGGTGACCAGGGCGAGGCAAGGGCATGGTCCACTGAAGAAGCCTCATCATCCCTCTCAGGCCATGCAGAGGGGCACCTGGACAGTGTCACGGGCTGCTTAGGTCAAGCGCCAGCCCTCAAGTTCAGGCATCCCACAGCCCAGCCTAGCCTAGCCCTACTTCCCCAAGGGGGCGTCCAGCTGCATTTACCTCCTTGAGGCTGCTGCTGCTGTGCTCACTCTCCTTGGCCAAGTTGCTCATGGTGTGTGCGGGAGGGCAAAATGTGTGGGTCAGAGAGAGGCCCACTCCCTCTCCCTGAGAGCAGACCCGGCTTTGTAACCAAATCATACTCAGCGATAGGATGGGAGACCACCAGGAGAGGTCAGGAGGAGGGGACAAGGGAATGGCGAAAGGGCAGCAGAGCTGCTCGTGGCCAAGTGCTAAGGCAGGACTTTCCTCAGACCCTTCCTCCCTCTCATTATAATCTTCCTTCCTTCCTTCCTTCCTTCCTTTCTTCCTTCCTTCCTTCCTTCCATTTTTCCCTCCCTCCCACCCTCCATTCTTCCCTTCCACCCTCCATTCCTCCCTTCCACCCTCCATTCCTTCCTTCCTCTGTTCCTTCTTTCCTCCCTCCCTTTTTTCCCTCCCTCCCACCCTCTGTTCCTTCCTTCCTCTTTCCCTTCCCCCCCTCTCATCACCCCTTCCTGAGCACAGAGGAAAGAAAGAGATGAGAAGGAAGGAAGAAAGAAAGGAATGAATGAACGAAAGTTCCACAGGGCAACCCTGGAACCAGCAAGGAGCTGCCCGCCCCCTGGGTGTGCGCAAAGGAGATGACCAGCACTGCATTCTGGGTAAAGTCAGTCTGCAGGGCAAGAAAGCCAGCAGGAATGCCGGACTCTGCTTGCGTGCAGCCCCAGGGGCGGGGCGGGTGCACCTGTCTCTGGTTCCAGGGCTGTCCTGTGGATCTAAGGCTGAGCATGTTCTGGCTTTGATGGTTAGCACTAGGTTGTAGATCAGTACCCAGTCAGCCTGGGCTGGGCCAAGGTATGGCAGGCCGGTCCTTCGCTGTTTCCAGAGCAGGTTCCCGGGTCAGACAGAACCACATAGCAGGCTGGATCTGGCACGCGGGCCTTGTGTTTGACATGTCTTCTCTAAAGGATCTTCCTGATTTTCCTTATCATGATGAAATCCAGATCCTTTTTCCTCTCATGATTGTCCAGCTTTTCCTTATCACTGATAAAACTCTAAATCTTAGGGTGAGATGACTACTCTGTTAATATCCTACTTCACACTGTGTTAGATATGAGGACATATGCTTCAAACATTACACATAGGAGGTAATGTGGAAGATTGGATTACAAAGTGCCGATCTTCCCTTCTGGAACAGTAATGTCTGCCTGAGGGCCAAATTAGGTTAAATGAAATTATGGAGGAGGAGACCAAATCAGATGGCATCAATCCTTCCCTTCTTGTCCACAAAGAGGCATCAAATAATTATCTGAATACAATCTAATAAAGTTTGTTTATTGACCAGTTATG